TGCTCAAACAGAGAAAAACCAGAATAAACAAAGTCAACCTATGAATGCTTGTTGAACATGGGTCGAAAATGGAGCAGCATCAGCACCTTAGGACGTGTCTGTGCATTTGATGGAACACCAGAGAAGGAGAGAAGAGATCCGCTCCACAGGCAGCTAAATGGTGCCTTCAAGGCGGTATCGTAATTATGGTAAATACCAAAAGCTGGCATGTAAAGTTGCACATGAAAACCAACTCATGTCGTGATTTCTACTGGAAAGCTTGTGATACCTGAGGTAAACTTTGACCTTTCAACATGGTGTAGACCAGTGAAACGATTCTGGATGGGGAATACTGCATCATTAAGGGTGGATTATACTTCTGCAACTGCACACATCAAATGTCCCTTACGTTTGGTCGCGAACCAGTTTTGCTGGTATGCTTCTGCACCATCACTATTAAGTCCACTATATATTCCCTGCTCTATATAGTGATTGAGGGATGTAGGGGTTAGGGCGGATGTTCAGACACAGTAAGCATGTTTGAGCAATGAGAACAGCAACTTTTAAACAGAGCATGCATGAGGAGAAATGAGTTGTGCATGCTCTTGCACATGTTTAATAGGCGTTCCCTCTCGGGAGCAGGTACAGGGTTGCATGTGCAGTTTTTTTTTAAGTGGAGAGGGCTGGGCTTATTAGAAATTCCTGAAAATCCTCCTCTATACCTTTTTAAATGGCCTGATATTCAAAGTTTCCAAATAAGAGGCACTAATATGCAGGTGGAGCACAACTGAGCTTTGTACGGCTATTTTTTAAATAGGGGAGAGGGAAAAAAAACTGTTAGGAAGAGATGTTGACCATGAAGGGGTATCTCTTTACAGATATTCTATTTTTTGGTTTAATTGTTTACAGATTGTCTGCCATCAGCTGTGTTAATTCACACCTAGCTGTGTTGACATTTTTGATGTATGTGCACAGGATATCTCTGTACCAATGCTTCCTTTGTGGCAACAATAGGTGCTAATATTTTCAAGTCCCTTTTCTCCTCACTTTCAGAAGTATTGAAAAAAGATTCAAAAGCTGCAGTTGAGTTGAGGACAATCGCTTTACATGCGATAAATGTTTACATATGCATATCCTCCAACCATTAATTTGCACAGTTTGTTCATTAAAAAACAATCTGCATATTGAAGAACGAGACAAAAAATGGTTTGCTCTGGCTGGCTGCAGATGCAAATCACTTTAGACCTTCTCTGAAAAGCAACTTTGCACGTATAAACTTGTTTGCTCCTGTTTTAAGATTTTTTTTTTTTTTTACCTGTCAATAGTCAAAATCTTCCTATTGATCGAACACATTTTTTAAAATCCTAATGTCTCTGTTTTCCATCAGTTTCTGTGTTTTGATTGTGCAGGAAAACCTGAAGGCTGTTCTTAGCCTGCTGGAAAAGACAGAGGAACAGGCTGTGTCTTTACAGCAGAGCTGCTCAATGCTGCAGGATGAGTTGGAGGAAGAAGAAGGGAAAGCTGCAGAGGTGCAAAACACAACAATAATAATGATTACAAATGACTGTGATAGCAGTGATTGTTTAGATTATTTTGTGGTTAACAAACTCTGCCTGTTCTGCGCTTTACTTCAACAGGAAACTTAACAGTTTTCTTCTCTTGTTGATACCTGTTACTTTTAGTGGTACAATAGAAATCAATTCTTTTTTTTTTTTCTTAAAAGATGGAATGAGTAACAGTTGTTCATGCAAAACCAGGACTGTTTTGCACAAGGACAATCAGACATTTCAGTTCTGTTCAGGAAATATTTCGTAATGTGCCTGTTCTGCATGTTATTGTTACCCAAAAGCGGTTTGATTAATGAGTGCAGAATATTATAAGACTTGCTGACAGTAGCAGCTTTAGGATAAGGGTCTATAGAAAACAATGTAAATAAATATTGCCTGTACTCATGCAGGTTTTACCAAAACGTGATCGAGGTGTTTTAAAGCTTCCACCTCTTCATCCCCAAAAAGAGGAAGCCATATTAGAGGTGAGTGTGAAAAAAAAAAAAAAAGGATGTGTTTTTGACCATATTGCAGAATATGTCTCTTTTTCCCTTCTACTTCACAAGTTTGCTTCTTTAATAAGTGAGACTGTCTGAATGTTCAGTTCCTAAGAAATCTAACAGGAAACTGCTCTTTGTGGTGAAGCCCATTTTAGTTGTTGCACCATCCATTCAATTCTGACTGGATACAATAACTTCTGTAATACTTTTGTAAAAAAATACTTCTTGCATCACAGTGAACCTCTTGTCTATCTTAGTCACGTTTAAGAAAAATCATACCAAAGAGTGAATGTGAGCCCATTGCTCGGAAACTTGGTGACGTCCTGCAAAAACCAGAGCCCACCCAGGATGAGCAGCTTCTACTTCAACAGGCCCAGGAACATGCTGGTCACCTCTTCCCTTCACTGAACAGACGCGCATCTCATTTGGAAAGAGTATAAATGCCTTTTTCTTGAAGAATTTCGTTTTTTTTGATTGGTTGTTTTTGTGGTTTCTGTGGTCGGACTGTAACTTGATTTTGCTTTCATATAAATTTGACATCTTAAAATGTTTTTAGCGTTGATCTTTGAAAGCAATTCATATTTTTCTTTTGTCTGTCAAGCCTTATGCCACTAATATATATCACTGTAGTATTATATCCCTATTATTCTACAGTTGTGTAATTTCAGTTAAAGATTTGCTGTTTTTGAATTGTTAATTTGTGAATAAATAGATATAAACAGTCAAACAAATGTCATTTGAAAATAAAAAGTTTGTTTTTAAAAGTTTTGGTAATTTTAGCAACCAGTGGCTTCCTGAGTCTACTGTCAAGTTAAAAAAAAAAGATTTAGTCCTTCTTCACAGCTCAGATTCACAAAACTAGAAGATAAATGTTGCCACTGCAAATCTGTAGAATCTGAGCCACCCTTCTGGTAAAAGCTTACCTAGTGTCACACCTGAGGGCATTGACTCATTGCCTTCACAGCAACCCCTCATCTTGTGTAAACCTCTGGCTTCATTGCAAAGCAACAGCTGATTTTGCAAATTTCCTTCTAAACCACATTCTGCTGAGCCTGGCTTTTGTATTAGAGGGGATTTGCAGAAACTGGTTGGGGGGGTTGATGGAGAGTTAATAAATTACTGTTCCAGGAGTACCTTTTTATTTATATTAAATCTAATTGTATTTATAAAGCAGTTATCATACAACTTGTGCAATAAAAAGTCTTTCCAGAGTTAAAAACATTACCCCATTGCCAGCCAACATAATGATATATATTTAAATAAGTAAAGCATGCATATTTGATGTTTATTTTGGGGAACAAAAGTGAGTTCTGAACACAGAAGCACTGGGCTATGCATAACAGCTTACACCAAAATAAAACAAAAAAACAATGGAAATTGTACAAGTGCTAGTAAATGATAAACTGAGAGTAGCAGGAGGAAATTGTGGTCATTATGTCCTCCGGCAGCTTAGCTTATAACAGCAGAGATGGCTCAGGATAACCTTGGCCACTGTAACTATAAGCTTCACCGTAAAGGGAACCTTTTAAGTCAGGCATCCCCAAAGTGGGTCCATGAGGGCCGCTGTCCTTCAGGTTTTAGAGGGTTCCCTGCGCCAGCACAGCTCATTTACATTGATAGTTGATCAACAGTCTTTAGCTGAACTGCAATCATCAGAATCAGCTGTGCTAAAGCAGAGAAACCTCTAAAACCTGCAGGAGGACCCTCAAGGACCAACTTTGGGGATGCCTGTTTTAATTCTATTCTTTGAAGTAGATGGTATACAACTGGTAGTTTCTCTCACAGGGAAAAAAAACATCTGCCTCATATTCTAATTTCTTTTTTCAAATTATGCCAAAAAAAAGACTTCCCAGAAAATTTTAATAAAAATAGTTTGATATTGGGTCATTCCTGGTCAATGACAATCATATGGCTCTATTAATAATAAGCCTATTTAATGCCACGCCGAGCGAACAGCTGACTAGACAGTTTGTTTTCATATATTTTTGTAAACGTATTTATAAAAAATCAGCTTTATGTAAACCAACTAAGAAACTTACAGCTCTGAAGTGTTTCACTAGATTTAAAGATTATGAACTGAAACTTTTTTTCCCCCTGAAAGCATAAATTCAGCATATTACTTCCTTTACACATACCCATGGTGTAGTATCAGGTCCTTATTTTGAAGGGTGACAGCATGCCAGCTTAGTAATGTGAATCTAGTTGGAATTTATGAAGTAAATCTTATATCCTTGAGGTAAAATATTGAGAGTAAACTTGCCTCCATATTTTTTATAAGTGTCACCAAACTACAGGCAAGATGCATCATGAATTAATATCTAACCATGACCCGCCTGCAGCATGTCTGAACACAGGCAGGAATGTTTTCTCTGATGAATAGGCACACCTCTAAGAGCTATTTTATTAGCTCAGCCTTAAAAAATCATTCTATATATATATATATATATATATATATATATATATATATATATTCAGGTTAGTATGAAA